CACGACCCATGGGTTGGCTAAATGATTTTTTCACAGTTTTCAGCTCTGTGTTCCTCTCTGTGCTCCAATCTCCGAGTGCACCCAGTTCCAACACTGTGAATCTACAACCCAACGCACAGCGAGCGCATTCCTTAGCCCATCTCTGCTCGCACTCCCCTACGGTCACCCAATGACCCTGTAAATCAGACCAATCCGATGCTATCTGTCGGGCTGTTTCTACACAAACTTCAAACAACGGTCTCGAGTCTTGCAAAGCTCTGACTCGATGCGCTGAATTCATTACCTGACCTCCACCTTTATCCAACAGCCTCGATACTCAAGCATCTGTGGGTTGTGATATTTTAGACAAGTAAACAACCTCTTTGTCTCTTGAGATGTTACCGTCCAAACTCGACGGACTCCATCCGTCATCCAACCTTGCAACATAAGCTCCGACTCGCTCCGGCGAAACATCACGCTCTTTCTTCCTCCTTTTAAGCCTGCATATCTGACCGACCGCGCCCTCAGCTACTTTAATCATGCGGTCTAGCTGTACTGTCAACAGCTGCACGTGCTGTTTCTGTAGCATGCACTCTGTCTGCACATCAGATAACAACTGTTTTTGTTGTAAAAACTGTTTATCTTTCTCCTGAACTTCCTCCACACATTTTTCAATCGCTTTCTTTCTCTTGAATTTTCCTCGCAACCGGGACACCTGCTTCACTGCCCTGCTTATTCTCACAAACTGAGCACCGAGCCGTTCATTCAACAAGCAGGCGGTCCTCACATTCTTGTTTGCTCCGTTGAGCCTGTAATTGCATTTTCTGACTTTATGCTGAAGTCCTGTCACTGGTGCCATCTTTTCTGACCTCTATTGCCTGCAAAAGTGGTCAAAACATCACTCGGACTATCTGCTTTCAGAAAAATTGTTCTAACAACTAAGATGGGCTTCTTCCCACCTCTTCAAAAACAACAAAAACAACTGGGATGGGACTTCTTCCCATCCCGGTACAACTTTTTCTCTGTTCCCCTCACGCCTCCTCAGGCGTCTGGATCAACTTTTCCCTCCGTTCAGCTCACGCCTCCTCAGGCGTCTGAATCAACTTTTTCTCTGTTTTAAACTCTCACACAAAGGCTCGGGGCGTCCCCCTCCACCTCTTAAACACAAAGCCAAGGTTGGATAACTCTCCCAACCCGGCACAACTTCAACGGACTCTTTGTCCAGATGCAACTCGCATCAACATTTTTCTCAACACTTTTTTCCCTTCGTTTGAATATGGTGCAGCCGTTCAGAATTATTTATTTAATTATTAAAATCCCATCCTCGTCGCCAAAAATGTATTATGAAATTCTTTATCAAAAGGGTTCGTGAACGATCGGCACC